ATTCGCTATATGCGTGCCTGGCCATGTGTGTGTGTGTGTGTGTGTGGGCAGCTTTGTTCACATGTTTTCACTTGCTGCTTAATTTGCATTTAAATGGTTTTTGCACTTAGGCTATTTCCCGTGTAAATGAGCTTTGTTTGCTGCTGCTGTTGCTGCTGTTCATGTTGTTGTTGTTATTTCCTTGCCCAACTTAACAAGGCAACGCCAGCGGCCGAGCTCTTGTTTTATGTAGGCTCAACTTGCATTTCACCAAGGACGCAGGCCCAACCGCGGGTTCTGCGAGCGAATATTTTGTGGCTGCACATTCAATGTTTTGCCCAGGACTTTGTCAGAGTCGTGGGTGGAAATTCCTGGAAGAAATGTAGTCAATGACCTGACTGTGCAAGAGAGTGTTATATCCAGCTATTAAAGGCTGGCTTTTCCATTAGTTTGTGTCTTGGAACTTGGCCAGATAGGAAGATAATGCTATCAAAGTGTGTAAGCCCTTGTATTCCCTGCCTGCCATATCTGCCAATTTGTTTGCAATCCGAAAAGTCTAAACTGCAATTTAACTGATTTAAACAAAATTGGATTTGTTTAAAATAAAAGCAATAATTTGACTGACTGTATACATACATTAAGATATATATAAATTATAGCGACATGATGAAATCAATAAAATTAAGGTAAAGTATATTTACACTTGTATACACAATATAAATAATTAAATTTATTAATCACTAAATCACTTAAAATTGTGGTCAATATTTACCATTCCGAATGATTGCGAATCTATATCAGAGTTTGCATGTTGAAACGTACACAACAAAATAATGAAAGCTCTGATCTGCTAAAAAGTAATTGCCAAATGGCAAATTTGTATTAGATGCGAAAAACAAAATACAAAATTGAGCGCATATCGGAAGCTGTTTACATTTTGTCTGGCATAAACAAATACGCAACAAAACAAATATTTATCTATGCATACCAGAGCTGTTTATATTTTCTATTTTCGCTCGTTCGCATAAAATGAATGCATGCGGAAAAATAACAAAAAAAAAAATGGTATATTGTCGAATTGTGACATGAGCCAATGCCAGAGCCAAACTGCGTCCTCTGTGTCCTGTTCCTTATGGCTGTGACTGGGATTTAATGCGCCTGACATTTATCATACGCCAAGTTGGCAATGGGTTTATTGATTGCCTGCATGGCTGCATGGACAGTTGCGGGCTGTTGCGGGGTCGGCACATTCAGCCAATTAACTGTGGTACCTACCAGCCACGCCTTTTATGACTTAATAGCTGAGCTGACTTGGATAAAATAAGTATGTCAACCAGCAAACACCAACTGAGCGGGCGGAGAGACCATGTTCCCATTTAGCGCACTGTCAACTTTTGTTGTGGTCACTAATGATGACAGCCGCCCAGCCAAAACATCAACACACACATACACACACACACACACACACACATACACAAACTCGCATACCGCCATACGGTGTCCCTCTAAACATTGTGTGTGTATTGCGGGTGTCTGTCTGCGTTTGTGGCCATTGCCAACTGCCGACTGATGCACAAGCAGTCCGTGGCTCTCACATGACACAATTGTGTAGCCGGACACACATACCCTCACCCCTCTGCCATCCCCAAGTCCAGCCTGACCGCAACTCCTGGCCGGTGCCATATTGTGGTCAGACTTTTGTTGGAAAAGCGCGGCGCGTGGAGCGTCAAAAACAAGCTGATTTGATTGTTTGTAATTAAAAGTGGACGCAGCGAAAATTAAACGAGTATCTACAGGATATACGGACCACGTCCTCTCTCTCTCTCTTTGTGTGTGTGTGTGTGTGTGTGTGTTTTTTAGCTGGCGCATAAAACTTTATGGCCACGTGCCCGGTTCCTGTTCTTAATTTAAAAGTAGAAATCTAATAAAAATAAAAGCGTAATGCTGGTAAAGACTACGCTACGTGCCCGGACCGCGTCGGCGATGTAGGTATATACTACAAGGGTGTGTGGACAAATTAAACCTCGAATGTCTTACAAAAGTTTTCAGGGCAGTGTATTTGCGTTGTGCCTAACGACTAATTGATGCGCCACATTGTCAAAGCCTGCGCTGTGGGTGGGCCTGAAGGGACTTAAGACACTTAAAGCTGGTCCCAAATTGAACCAAAAAGATAGACGCCTGTCAACATATGTATTAGCGGCTGTGAGTAAATTACTGTCGTGGGAATGGTTGACAAAAATACAGCAAAAGGGTGTGAGAGAAACAAGAATAATATCCTGAAAAGGTAATGCAAGGTGTTGTAGCATATAGGTATACAGTTTTTATATTGGTCTCGAAGAAAGTCAACTAAATAATTTATATACTCTATTCATTAACAAATTTGAACTGAAATGTTCAGAAATACATACTTAATACGGGTTGCTAGTGAAAAGAACTGTACGGAAACACATGTTGTTAAACTTAACAAGGTGTTCCAACACATGCCTCAAATAATTACACGTTTACTCCAATAGCCCATACTCATCAATACCACACCTTTGACATGTATTCCAAGTGCCTTGCATGTTCTCATCCCGCCTACTTTTAAATACTGAAGTATTAACACTTGACAAGTCTGCCTACTTATTTAAAAAAACACTTATCACCTGTCTGCAGGTTTAGGTCCTCCTTTTCTTTTCACATGAACGGATTAAATATTTTAAAAACAAAAACAGTTTTAAGCCTATCCATCTTTAAGACTGGTTCTACCTTTTCAATTTTTAACTGGCAAGTCTTTTCTAAATTACATTTTTGATAATTCATTAATCGATTGTAAAATTAATTGAGAGGTAGCATAGAGGTAGCCTCGACAAAAAAAGAAAAAGAAACTCATTTTAAAAACTTTTTCCTTTCTTATTAGCTAAGGTGTCAAAAGGCACCTTTTGGTGGAAAAAGCCTTGGTAGAAATAGTCTTAAGTATTAATAAGCGAATGTAAGAAATTAAAGCACGATTTACTTTAATATTAATATTATTTCACTTGGGTGTTTTTTTGACTACAAATTTCAATTTGTAAATATCCGATTGAAAGCAAATATTCACAATGAACCCAACCACACGCTTTACTCCTTGATGTCTGTGGGTGACAGCCAACAAACTGAGGTAAACCGCAGTCACAGCTGCAACAAATGACATGTTGCAACATTGCAACCATAATTATCTCGACTATTGAAAAATAATAGGGTCAATGGAAATTGCGAAATATTTTGCCAATATTTCGACCGCATTTGCACAAATATTAATCCCAAGCAACTGCAAGTCGAGCAAGTGGAAGGTTTTCATTATATTTTGTAATTAATACTTAAGTCGATTTCATATACTTATTATACCCTGAACCCGTTAAAAATGGGTATAAGGGTATATTGTATTTGTGCAAAATCCAAATGTATGTAACAGGCAAAAGGAAGCATCCCCGACCCCATAAAGTATATATATTCTTGATCAGCAGCAATAGCCGAGTCGATCTAGCCATGTCCGTCTGTCTGTCCGTCCGTCCGCACATCCGTCCGTATGTATGAACGCAAGGATCTCAGAACCTATAAGAGCTAGAGACTTGAAATAGATGTAGATGCTCCTAGTTCCCGCGGAGATCGAGTTTGTTTCCGATAATCGATAACTTACTCCGTTGCCAAGCAATCGATAAAAATCGATATCGATATCCTGTTTTTTGTTCAATTTTGGTAAATAATAAGAGCTAGAGCCACCAAACTTGAGATATAGCTTCCAAAATAGAATATATATATGCATTTGATGTTGGAAGAAGAGGGTTCAGGGTATCCCCTAGTCGGGAGCTCCCGACTAGAACCTCTTACTTGTTTTCGAATATAATAACTGATCCAATAGGCGTCTAGTTGACTTAATTGGACATTTGGAGCCGAGCATTGTTTGCTGCTGAAGAAACAGCTTGTCTGGGCAAATAATATTATTCTTAGCAGAGCTTGCTGGCAACTCAAAAAGTAATCAAAACGATGTGGCATTTGGGTTGCTGTCTGCCACATTTAATGCATTTAAAACGGCCACTTTGGCTGCACGTGCAGTGGAGTGAGAGGGTGATGGGGGGGTGGGCGCGGCAGGCAAATGGCCAAGGCAGATTCAACAGCCTGTTGCTTCCGTTTTCGCCGTGTGCCGGTTCCAGTCAGGACTAGGCCAAAGCCTGTTGCGGTAGCGCAACAACTGCCCGCCCGGATAAAAGTGCGTAAAAGCTTTGCCTCTCTCGCTCTCGCTCAGGGCAGCTGGAAGCTTTTGCTCTCGGGCCGAGGGATTCGTGTGGCCAGCACTTGGATGGAATTGCTACTCCCACGTAGCGCTCGTGTGTGCTTGCCGTCGATATTCCAGCCTCGTCAAGTCTCGGCTCTGGCATTTCAGTCTAGGATAAACGTTTGCGACAGCCACAACAAGTGCGCGCGTGTGCGAACAGCCAAATTTGGAGTCCTTTACAAGCCAATCAACTGAGCAGAGCGGCCGCACTGTAACCGTGTAGTGTAGTGTAGTGTGCCCGAAAGTGAAAGTGCAACCAAGACACACCGGCAACAATGTGTGTGTGCATGTATGTGTGAGTGTGTGCTGAAGTTTTTTGTAAGCAGCTTGCGTACACGGCGGTAATTAAAGCGCGGCATAGCTCCACGAATCCTTTGGCCGCTTTTGATCGAAGGAGCTGCGCGCGTTACTCATGCGGCACTGCGAAAATGTAACTCCACCCCGACCCCATATTTGGATCAAGGCAATCAAATTAACATAGTTTAGTGGCATTTTGTGTAGTGTTTTAAATTGGTGCCAAAGCAAATTCGCGAAATAAATGTGAAGCAAGCAAACGCCACCGATTTGTCCAATTCAATTCAATTACCTACCCAAACGTAAATTGTGTGAAGATAATCACGGATAGAGAAACAACCATTTTGAAATTTTATTAGTTTTGGCAAACGAGCAGAGCAATTACATCTTTATAATAGTTCTGTAAATTGCAGTACAAAAACACCTAAACCTCAAAACCACCACCAACAAGAATTTTTAGCAACAGCAACTGGCACCACAACAACATCGGAAATATGTATAACTTTTGGATAATCGTTTTATGTCTAGGATTACTAGCAACTAAGTCAATAAGTAAGTCAAAGAGTATTTTCAATTAAATCTGAAATCGAAATATTTGCCAGAATTTCGCTTTCGTGCTCGACATCGGATTTTGCGCTCATCTTTAATTGACAATTACGATACATCAATTTTTGGAATTTTTGTGTGACAAGAGTCAAGAGGTTTATGGGGAATAAAGTCAATTTCAGTTTTAAATCGAGTTCAGCTCAAATCGAGCGACGCTTATTCTATTTTTTTTATTTTATTTTAATTGAGTAAAGAGTTTGAAGTACAGCTGAAAGTGCATTGTGTACATTTACAATGCAAAAGCCGATTTAGTTTCAGTTACAATAAATTTTTTTAAATTGCATCGTGCTATCAATTGATTCTGTTGAGCGTTCTTCTATTTACAGAACAAAAGAGGATGACTTGATTCAACCTTACCTTCTACAGAATTAATCAGACAATTTTATGCTTTGCAGTCGGGTGCAGCCGACTGTGCTATACTCTACCTACATAGAAATTGGCGATTTGTAACTCGTGCTCGTATCGCTAATAGCAAACATAGTTTTAGCAGCACTTGGCCTCCAGTTTGGTACTTTTCGGGCATACCCGACTAGGATATACCCTACCCTGAACCCAGCTACAGCTAGCTTTCTACATACCCACACTGTGGGAATGTCTTTCTGGAATAGCTTCAGTGTTTATAGTCAGGCCTAAACAAATGTTCGGGACTGAAATATGACACAAAAAAAGCCTATTACTGATTTCTCAACAATGAGTTTTTAAAATTTTGGGGGAATGGGGCGAGGTACCTAAAAAGTACCATAACATTTTCTAGTTATGCTAATATCAATATATATCGGAAATTATATCAAGAATAAAAACTGATTGGAATATGGAAACTATTTTCCCAATGGAATTTGAACACATTACTATTTTACTATTACACTCCAACATCTTGGACTTATTTTGATTCTTGTCAAAGAAGGCTTTTTATACAGAGATATAATATGGAGGAATGCTTCTTCCGAGTGGAACCCACTTTCTGACATAGTTTCAGCCTGTTAATCCCTGGACAATTCTCTAAAGTTAGTTTTGAAGTCACAAACTCTTAGCTTGTCTTGCTGCTTGCGCATTTTGCTATGCCTTGTTGGACAGTTGGTGATTATTCGAAGATTTGCCTCACCGTCCGACATTAAATCTTTGGCAATGTTTTACATACTTTAACAATTGTCACAGTTTGTAAAGGAATGCTTTGATTCACAAGGCATGAGCTAGGCAGGTGCCTTGCTTTCTGACCAGTTTCTGACTGTAGCATATGAATCAATAGTAAGTGACATTATGGTCTTGACTAGTACAGTAAAAACACTCCCAACGAACATTTCTATTAAGCAGACTCCCCTCGTTGACGGACATTTCCTCTCAAACTTTTATAAAACAGATTACACCTGTCCCGCCTGAAAGCAGGACACTCTTGAGCCGATGAAAATTACGTGACAGTCGCCGTCCGCCCAAGTCAGTTTGCACTGTAACAGATATGTGTGGTATTCTCAACAATAAGAGACATACACTCGGAGAAAATTGTTCCATTTCCTGCAAACTCTTTGTTTATACAAGTTGGCCAAATACCGCAAATTTCTAAATAAAACAAAGGTGCTTAGTTGCTTTAACCGCAACGGCCAGCTAGTTATTTTCTTGTATGCTAAGGTAAGCCATTAAGTTCAAGGCTTGTTTTAGAAGATGGCTTATTTTTCGCTGCATATTTATGCAATTGCTTAATGCGTAATTCGCATTAAGCTACTGCAGCGCAGAACAATTTGAATATCAAATGCCGATTTCAGGCTCGACGCCCACAAGGAGCCTTGGGTTAAGTTTCGGCTGCCTGCCTCAACCTTAGTCAACAATTTATTTATAAAATTTTGCATTTAAGCTGAAATATGCATATGCAAAGGAGGCGCCAGCAAAGCCACCCCCTGGCTAATTGCAAATGGCGCGCAGGCATGCAACCCGCCCAAATACCGCCCAACTCCGCAGACTTTCACATCCGTGTTGCCATGCCACACTGGCCGAGACGTGCTGATTTTCTTGAATGCGACCGACCTTGCCCAATGGAATGTCAAGCAGTTGGTCAGTTGCCTGGTCCTCGATACCTGTCCGCACAGCTGCTTCCTGCTTCCTGCTGGCTGCTGTTGATGCTCCTCCGGCAGCTGTGTGTTTTTTCATAAGCCTCATGAATAATTCAGAGGGCACGCTTCGATTATTTACTTCATAAACATTCTGCTACTGTCGTGCCTGTTTGTGTTTGCACATGCATGCATGTGTATACATATATTTAGAATGCGTTAGTATGCATCTTGGCATTTTATGGCGCGTACAAGTTTTTAATTTTAATAAATTGTTTTGGCTGGCCAAATATTTGCGCCTGCAACAAGCAAAACACTTTTCTGATATGCCCTTAGTTGTTTATTAAGCTGTTAGGCAAGTCGCTGATTGCAATCTGCATGGCAAATTAATTGGGCGTATATACTATATGAATAATTTGATTTGATTACGGAATCAATGAGCAGCTCGGCTGCGGCACGTTAATTACGAGAGCTGACAAGTATGCCACACAATTAAATTTAATTACAGCTTCATTTTGGGGGGCGAAAGTTAATCAAAAACTCAATGAGCAGCTCGTAAAGACAACAACCTGCCGCGCCTCAACCTTTCGCCTCGTATCTATTACACGTTGTCGAGGCAACGTAATCGCTGAAAAATTAATACGCCAAGGAGCAGCAGGCAGCAGCCAGAACGAAGCCAGGACGATAAAGCAACAAGGATCGGTGTATGTCGTAAAGCACGTTTGGGCCATATTAAACCGCCAATGGCTCAGATACGAGGCAGCATCGTATAAAATGTGCCGTTGCCACAGTAAAATCAATTTCAAGTCGTTAAACGAAATGAACCTTATGGAGAGTTTCCTTTCTGTGGTTGCTTTCTTGCGGAAGTGAAAGTTTCACACACACACACACACACACACAGACACACACACAAACAGACCATTAGCAGTTCTGATCGTCGAATTTAAAACACGTCGCCATCGATGGAAAGCGTAATCGAAACGCGGGCTCGGCAACTGATGCGATTATTATTGATTTTTTCCTTAACTAAAATTGGTTGGATTGAATTATTCATATGGGCGGGCGGATAATGGCAAGTGGCAAGAGCCTAATTGTATTGTACGAGCGCCACATTGAGAACTCTCAACTATTTATTTAGCTGAACCACTGAGAAAAGGTCGCACGTGACGTGGCTGACAATGATGTTAACGATTATCATCATCATTGTCTTAATGCTGATTACTGTTTGTTTTGCTCTTAATGTCACATTCAATTCAGAAATTTAAACAAAATATAAATCAATTTGGCTGCATAAACAGAGTGCATTTATATAATTTACATCCAAGCAAATATTGTGTCAAACGCGACAACAGTAGCGATGGCTTCGGGCCAACGCTGTCCTTCACTGCGTATACTTAATGTGCGCACATGTCCATATAAATGTAATAGTTATGAAAGCCAACAGCAGCGGCAGCAGACGCCAGAGATACAATGACAACAAGACGGCAAGTGTGTGTGCTCTGTGCAACCTCAATGGCAGGTCTAGCCACAGGCAAACTCAAGTTGTGAACACACACACACACACACACACGTTCACACCAAGAGCATATATAGTATATAGGAGGACAGGCGGGGCTGGGGCTGGGCGATGATTTCGCCTGCAGCTGTCTGACAGTCAGAGCTGCCTTGCTGCCATGCTGTCTGCCTGGCTAGCTGGCCCACATTTGACGACTTTGACATTCCACAAGGATCCGTCGCCCCTTGCTGTGATTTTGACTTGTGCAAAGACGTTTTTGGCATATCTAATGAAACTTATTGGCCGACAGCCACTTGAATGGACTAACTCGCGACTTTAAAAGTCGATGCAGCCAATACATAAGTATTACGAAATCGTCTATAAATTGTTGCCGAAATATGAACGCCATGGGCAAACTTTTGCCGGCTTACTGTATCGAAGTTAACTTGAGCGTCTGAAATCAGATTAAAGTAAACATTGGCACACATGGCACCCGGCCTGCGGCTCCGGCTGCGGCCCTAATGCACGGCAATACAATTTGGCTAGGCTTGCAGGTAGCAAGCATTTGGCAAATGACTGGAACAATTTTGCACAATTTGGCACAAAGACAATCAAAAAGTTATAAAACAAGCTTCGGCAAAGCGAAAACAATGGAGAACTGCGGCCAGAATTCCGTAAAGCCCCAATGCCAAGTCACCAGCCCAGCCAGAGCCTAAATGATGCTGAGCGGGAATACTGTATTCTACGGAGCTCTGGCGTGTGTGTATCGAGCTGTAAAAACTTTGGGCAAACTTTCTGTTTTTTTCCTTCTTTTTTTCCTGAACGTGTTACTTGTTGGCATTCGCTTGTTGTACCTGGCTGGCATTGCGCATACGCCACGTGGTGTTATTATCAGCCGCATCAGCGGCGCCGTAAAGTAAATGCAAAGTGTGCAAAGTCTATAAACGAGCGTCAAACTTAAAAGCCCTAGGGTGGCGGCGACTTGGCAAGGACGTTTAGAGGCTCGGCAAGAAGAGTGAGAGGGGGCAGACACACAAGTTTATCGGCAGGCAAAGCACAGAAACAACTGAGCCTATCAAAAAGTTGCTCATACGACAAATTGTCACTGCGTTGGCAGCAGCGTCGGCAACGGAACATGGAAAACGAATTTTATATTTCAGCTTTTGCTATTATTTATATTATTTATGATGTTTTGGGCAATGTCGTTAAACTGCGGCCATTAAAAAGGTTTTCCTATGTGTGGGACAGATGTCAGCTGCTTGAAGGCGGTACAAAAAAGGAAACTCCTACAAAACAATTATGCCTAAGTGCGGTGCCTTAAATATTCATGAAGCTGACAAAAAAATTCTAAATGCTTAGAATGAACAGAGCACACTTTTAAGGCGCCATCGAGCACTGTTTAAAGAGCCCTT